CTTTTGTTTCTAATATCGATTGTGTCTGTGGCTAATGCAGTCTTGCAGGGCTATGTTCCTCTTCCGAAGTCTGTGACCGATTCCCGTATCGTTGAGAACACGCAGGTGTTTGACTTCGAATTGTCTGGTGAGGACATGGAGAGTCTGAACACCGGCATTTATGCCCCTGTTTGCTGGGATCCTGCTAAAGATGTTCCCCTGTAGAGCAATTCCTTAAATTCACTGAAAATAGCAGGAAGACGACGGGAGCAGGCGAAAAATATATATACATGTCTATTTCGCTCATATATAGAAGAAGCAACACAGTGACTTAGGTAAATGCAGGATTTTGATAGGCAACAGTGACCAACTCTCAAAAAGAATGTTGTATCTCTACATGAATTGAGCACTTTGCAAACTTAAGCAGTGGTGACTGCCGCGGGAAATAGGAAACTCCCGTTGATCTGGCCGGGACAACATATCGCCGCCAGCCAAGGATGTCAACAATAGCTCTCTCCGCGTTATCAATAATATATCCCAGAGGTATTGCCATCAACAATAACCAAGAGAAGCTTGCAAGTTACGATCTTCAAATGCACCGCTACAGCTTGATATAACGGAACCTACCTTGTCATCCCTCTACCATGCCCGATCAGCCGCGGCGCATTATTCTGGAAAAATCCAAGACAGTGCGCCGCCGGTATCAGCGCAGCAACAAACGATTCCAGTTTACAGCTTCACAGATCGAACGCATCGAACGCGAAGAGGAACGCGAAGCACGAGCTAAAAGGCTTAGAGAAAAAGAGAAGAGACGCCAAGCCGATAAGAAGAAAAAAGCCGAAAAGGAAGCCAAAGAACGAGAGGCACGAAGACAACTCGGAGTCCCTGATCCTCATGCTCTCCCCGTTCCTTCCAGTCAGCCATTGCTTTCCAGATTTCTCAAGAAGCCTGCAGCAAAGCCGGATACAGAGAGCGAAACCTGTGAGGACACGGAGCTAGACAGCCGCAGTCAGGGGAGTGTCGCGACCGAGATTGACGACAGCCTGCTCTCGGATTTAGATGTCGCTGCGTTCGACGATCAGACGGCTGCAGGGGTATCAGAGCCAGATAATCATACAGCATGTGATGATGGCAAGGGTCATGTTTGTAGTACACAGGGCGATGATGACGAGTTCTCCGAATGCTCGATTTTCTACGACGAAGACATCATCAAAGAAGTCGAAACAATTGCTACTGCACAAGATACAACAGGCAGGCCGGGGGAAATAGATCAGGCGACGAGAGAGCCATGCAAACCTGCGTTAACAATAGGAGAATCATTCCAAGATGACACGGCGATATTCCTTGAAGAGTTTGGCCATGAGGTCGGCGGCGATGAGGAATTCGAACAGGAATTGATTCGACTCGATACTGTATCCGTTGGAAACCCATCTTGAGTTGACTATACGAATATTGGATATTCAATATGCGATTGGGAACGTTGTCTAATTTGGTGGATTCAATGTGCCAACCCGTCGCACAAGTTCATCCTTGAGTGACAGACAGCATTGGAACCATTGTTGACGAACACTGACAATAACATCCTGCAGAGTCGCAGATCCGCGCAGCTCAACACCATCGACAGCCGTTTGCTCCGACCCGACGGACGGCCTGGCGGCCAGACCCGCACTGATCGGATCGGGATGCCCCTCTTGTCGGGTCGGGCGGTGCACCATAAGCTGGGCGGCGGCTCAACCCCGCCATGGTAGCAGGCATTCTGATGGAATCTATTATTCTGGACGAGAATTATGAAGGCAGCTTCGCATGAACAGACATTATGTGGTAACAATAGTGATGGCCACTTGGACAGCCGCCTCGTTGTGCTGAAGACTCTAATATCGGAGCGCGTTATCGATAAGATAGGAGAACGAAGCCGAAGAAGTATGAAGATAACAGTCGGTTGACGTCAATGCGGAATAAAACATAGCGTATCGGCTCGTTTTGTTTGAGAACTTCTTTCTTGAGATACTTCATTGCTATCTATTTCTTCGTATTCAGTACATCCTAACGCTATTGCAAACTCCTTCTGGTCTTTCCTCACATTTTGTACTGGCGTTGCTGCTGCGAGATATACCCACCGTTTACTTCCGGTCTCAACAAATCGAAAAGATGCCGTGCCTCGAAGTATGTGGGCACTCAATTTACTATGCTGATTCCCATCCCAATGGAGCTCCCAAAGATGGTGCGACCATTGTCTTCATACACGGCCTTGGCTCCTCCCAAAATTACTACTTTCCTATTCTCCACCATCTGACTCCTAAGCACCGCTGCATCACCCTCGACACCTATGGTTCTGCCCGCTCCCCTTACACCGACCAGCCCATCACCATTGCTACCATTGCTTCGGATGTCATTGCGGTGCTGGATGCGCTAAACATCCCCAAAGCCGCCGTAGTTGGCCACTCGATGGGCGGACTGGTCGTGACACTCTTGGGCGCACAGTGCAGCGATCGCATTACAGCTGTAGTAGCCGTGGGTCCCACCCATCCTTCGGAGACTCTAGCATCCACGATGCGCCAGAGGAGCGACACCGTGCTGGAGGGTATGTTGCTTCCATAGACCCAAATTCACTGTCAAAATGCACAACGTGTGGGCTAACCCAAAATAGCCGGAATGGAAGCAATGGCCAACACCGTCCCCAACGCCGCTACAGGCTCGCAAGCCTCCCCGCTCGCCAAAGCGTTCATCCGCGAGCTCCTTTTAGGCCAGAACCCCAAGGGCTACGCCACACTGTGCCAGGCTATTGCTAAGGCACCCGCGATCGACTACTCGTGCATCACTATGCCGTTTCTGCTCATTGCGGGCGAAGAGGATAAGTCTGCGTCGTTGGAAGGGTGCAAATATATATTTGACCGTGTGTCCAGTGAGACGAAGAAGATGGAGGTATTGCCCAAAGTCGGTCATTGGCATTGCATCGAGGCACCGGATCTGGTAGGTGGGATGATTGCGGGATTTATTGAGAGATTGTGATGTGCTCTAGAGTTATAGTACCTTGGGAGATATTGAACGAATTGTCCTCGTGTTCAGTCGTAAAATTTAGTGCTTTACTGCTCCTGATAACGCAGCTATATCAATACATTATCAAGCTAGGAGCAATACAGGCAACATGAGCGCAATCTCGGCAAGTCCATATCAAAACGACATAGGCTCAAAGGTGACTCCAGCCAAAACGAGAATCCATCATCGCTTTACGGTATCATGGAAGAACACACAAATATATATACACAAATCCCAGCTATTGTCAGTAGACTCCATTCCATTCCATTGGCCTATGCCTGGTCCGCTACCAGCTTGACGTCGTATTCAAGCTCAAGTCCAGCTTGAGGGTCATCCTTGCGCGGCACAAAGTCCACGATCAGCGAGTCCTTGACGGCAAACACCGAGTCATTCGTCAGGTACTTGTCCTGGCGGTCGAAGATCTGCGTGGTGAGAGGCTTGTAGCCTTCGTGCGTAGCCTGCAGTGCAGTTAGCCCAAGTTGCCTCCTTGTCAGGGTACTCGGAAGAAGTGAGTACTCACGATGATGTGGATATGGGCAGGGCGGTAAGGGTGTCGGTCCATGAGCTCGAGTAACTTCCCTGCGGGACCTATATGTCACTCAATATCAGCGTTCGCCAGTTGCAAAGCTATCGCGAGAAAATACGTACCATCATTCGGCACAGGATACGGCGTCGGACGCAGGCAATAGAAGTAGTACCGCCCGTCGGCATCCGTCTTGAACTTCCCGCGTAGGTTGAACTCCTCCTGGTTCGGATCCTGCTGCTCATATAGCCCGTTCGTGGACGCCTGCCACACCTCGACCGTTGCGCCAGCGAGCGGCTTCTTGGTCTGGAAATCGATCACGCGGCCGTGCATGAACACCATCTCGCCGTCCGGCACGTCTTTGACGATGTTGTCGCCGTTGTTGCGGTAGGGGGTGTCGGCGCGGAAGAAGGGACCCAGGATGGCGGTTGCGGTGGGTGCGTCGGCGGCCTCTTCAGCGAGTTTGAAGGTGATTTCGTCGACGAGCCTGTATACGCACAGCAAGCGATACGGTTAGTACAGGTGTCGGGGACTGGGAAATAGGGATGTGTGGAACGTACGACTCAAGCCCGATCACGTCGCAGACGAGCTGGCCTTCGTTGCGCTTGTCGTCGCTCATCTGGCCGGCCCAGTTGAGCAGCTTGACGCCGGCCATCCATTCGTCGACGGTGAGCTCGTTCTCGCGCGCGAAGTCATGCACATGGCGGATCAGGCTGGCCATAACCTTCCGGAACCGCGGGTTGGTCTTGGGACCCATCGCGTTGATGACATTGTCAGTGAAGTTGGGGTCAAACCGATGATCAGCCATGACTGTAGGAGGCCTCAAGGATCGTATCCTGTAGAGGTTTGGGTATATACTGTATCAGAGATAGAAGAGAGGATGTGGACGAGAATCAATGACAGTACACGGAAAAAACAGTCGCAAGGACTATCAACCAGCTTATATTCCACAAGAGCTAAATCAACAGAGTATGATTGGAAATACTCCCTTTCCGGACGGCAAAGTGTGCCCCAGATCCCAAGAAGACCCCGCAATTGATGAGAGTCCGTCAACTGCTATTGAATGCCGGTTCACGATGTTGATTGGGCAGTACAATGATTGGCCATTTAGAATTGACAGACATCGCAATCGGAAGCAGGCTAAAGCAACAATCTAACTGCCCTTTGTTCCGTCGTGTCATTTGCAATGCAGAACCGTATGACACCTTTCGGATAGGGAGTAGAGGAGTATGGCGACGATCCGATTTCCCCGCAATCCGTCGGATGTCGGATAGTCGCGCTTATGTAAGGCCCCAGCATTATCCCCGCACAGTCACGTGATTTTGTTATCATTATGCATGAGTATCTCTCTACCTTCTCCTGCGTCCAGTTGCAAAGTCCAGTTGCAAAGCTAGGTGTAATTCAAGCATCTGCGCTCAGATATAGAATCAGTAAGACTAGTTCGCCACAGGATCATGGCAGATCATCCATTTCTTCTACCCCCTCTCCTCCCATCCGATCCTGCTCGCGGTCCCTTGGGATTGCCTTTCTGAAGCAATTCTGACGGCAATTCCTGGATAGTTTGCCCATGTTCCCAAATCTTCCCCAGCCCACATTTCCTTTCCACGACAACATCAAAGAATTCAACGGGAATAATCTTCTGCGACGTGCCATGTCCAGTCTCCTGATTCCCCTCTATGTCCAGGCCCTCACTCAGGATTACCCCGTTCTCACTGTGCCAGAACGGACACCCCGCAGCCAGTGCCTTCTTGAGGTCAATGTAGATCAGAATCTGCGCGTCTCGCCTCATCCCTGAGATTACCCGCCCATCGTTGAGGCCCGAGGACCCCATGGCTGAGTGCGCCGTCCCGTCTACATGCGTAGGTAGCACGGATTCCAGGGAAGGCCCCGTTGCAAAATGAACCTGGTTCCGCCCCATGCACCGAAGCCCGCCGGACTGGAGAATGGCCGGCCAGACGGCATGGTATGTGCCGTGCACAACAGTGTCTGGTAACCTTGACTCGTCTTCCAATGTCAGTCTCTCCAGAAACGCGGCCGCTTCCACGCTCTTAATGCTGTGTCCCTGCGTCGCTCGGATCAGAAAATGAGACGGATCTGTATCGTCCACGGCGAGTGCCGTCGCCGTAGCGTTCTCTTGCCCCGCGCTGGTGGTGGGTACTTGCGACGTAGGCATCGAGCTCGGTTCTGTTTCGCAGGCGGGGGTCTCCCCTTCGCGGGCCCCAGACGTTGTCGTGTCGCTTATCGCTTTCGCCGAAGGGATGTGTAACAGCGCAAACCGCTTTTTGTCGGACGAAGCGACCGCGTGGATGATTTCAGGAAGGGTAACCTTAAGAGACTTGATCTTTTTCCATGCTAGCTGTGCGAGATATGTGTATCAGTCATATACCCCATTGAATGGTTCCGTCTGTCGTGCATACCACGTCCGCCACGTTGGCATACCCTTGAGAGTCCAATTTCAGCCCTTCTTTTTCCGCTGCATGACGCAAGAGCAGACTTAAGGCTTTGGAAATGGTCACTTCACGACTCTGGTGGCCTCCTCTGCCCCTGCGTTGATTTTGCGACATTGTGACGGACTCGGCAAGCGAAGAGGAGGGGTATGTCGTCAATGAACGGAGGTTCTGGGTTCGGCGTAGAAGAATGGCGACGAAACGGATTTGTCCGTTAATTGTGCTGGCTTTTGTACTGTATCTGAATCCCGCAGCGTCAGTAATTGACTCGATCGAAGACTCATCTGGAGGCTGAGCTCACGCGATGACTCAAGTTGTTCCAGCGTGACTGGGCAACGGCGTTCTCGTAACGTAAATTAGGAAATGCTATGAAAACCGAGTCCACAAGAGCGTCTCAAGCTGTAGGAAAACATCCGCCATCAGCATCAGCGACAACAGGAATTTGGTTCGATTTGGCCATACAATAATGATACACAGCTCGACTATCTCAGCTGTGCAAATAGACTAAACGGAGAAATTTGTTTGACATCATCGGCGGGCAATAATATTCCCCGACTGACCCACCAGACTAGGAAGAAAAAGCTAAGGTCAATAGTCTACTCGGTCCGATTCGATATTTCGTGAATCGTAGTCTTGACCAGTTATTGATTCTCAGCTTATGATAAATGCTTGAGGAAAGAGTACATATAGCGGAAAATGTAGATATCAATTAGTGAAAATGCGTAATAACCTCATGCGTCCATAAATGGGTATCGAAAGTAACAGCAAACTATCCTACCAACCCTCATGAACTTATAAAACCATCCTCATTGCAAGCCAGATATAGAAAACGAATCCCTCAGGCTATAGGGATAGGTCATGGTCACCGGTCGCAAATGCAGCTGCATTCTGCGACGGGGCAAACGTTATGCTTTGCAAACCATTCTCTGGCGTGATGTGCATGGAAACCATGATTGCAATTGATACAGAAGACGACAAATCTGCGCATGATGTCGGCCTCTGTGGGTTTACGCTGCTCCTGACCAGCATCGGCGGCGATAGAGGCCCTGGACATTGGATCTGGGGAGCCCATCCAGAGCGTGCAAACTCCACAGCGGGGCATCGGCCGTCCACACCTAGCGCAGACCATTCCTGACATAACAGCCGTGCCCAAGGGATTGCCAGAGGTCGGATGCACCACTTCCCCTGTAGCCGAAGGAGGAATTTGGGAAGATGCATCATGTTGGGTGAGGGGTCGAGTGCAGTAGTTACAAGTCAAGCTGACTTGTTGTCGGGGCGGCTCGATGAGTCTGCGCCCGTCCCAGGTGACAGCAAACTTGCGCGAGCCGACGTCGAATCGCGCTCTCTCTAACTGGAGTTTCCATGAGTTCATCTGCCAGCGATAGGTTTCACGCCATGCTTCATACCGAGCCCTGCCCCAACCACTCCTGATGAAGCGTGGGACTGTGTGGCTCATGGCTAGAACCGGCGTCTGGACATCATTGAATTTGTTGATATAAGATTGGAAAAGGTCCAAGGCAGAGTGGCCAAGCCCCGTGAGAACTATACCTTCAATGTCGCCTTGCCGGATGACTTCAGCAATGGTTTCCTTCAAGTATCCAGACAGTTCCGCGTCAGGAAGCCAACGTAGAGCTACTTCGACGCGGTACCTCAAGGGAAGCGTAGACTCGTGAATAACGGACTTCCAATCTCCTTTACTCACGAGCGCCAATATAGCTCGTGCATAGGGGTCTGTGAGTTCCTTAGCGATCTCCGCGCACGTCTCTTCCCAATCTGAGTCGGTATCGCCTTTGGCAGCACCTGCGATAGCCATGGCAAGCAGCTTATGCGCCTGGGTGGGCGTGTGGCTGCGCAACGCCTGATATGCTAGTTTAGCCTCGTCCTGAAAGACGGCCAGTGCAGCTGCTTTAGTATGCTGATTGTCTGCAGAAAGGCTTTTGACAAGCTCCTCCAATTCGCGATGAGATTGTGCCGCACCACAGAGACGCAAACAAAGTCGTCGATGTTCCGGATGAGCAGTCTGACACCCTTTTGATTCGGGCAAACCCAATTGCTCCCGCACAATCTCAATAATACTTTCGCTGACCGATGGAGACTCGTCCCCACTTGGACCGATGTGCCGGCTGTCATAACTTTGACCTGGAAGAGATTAGCAGACCGCATAATGAGCAAAGACGGAATTACGCTACCTAGGTCATTGTTCCAGATATCGTACACCCCCAGGTAGTTGAAATCCAAGCCATTTATGATCATTGACTGATCAGACGAGTCTGAACGTGCGCCTATACCGCCTGTCAGAGAATCCATACTGATGTTATCGTAAACACTACTCACGTTCTACCCAATCCCAGAGCCACTGAAGTTGAGGGTCATCGGCTAAAATTCGCTTATTGCGAGTTGCGTCGAATAAATAGCCTTCCTTGCAACGTAGTCTGTTTACGGTCAATAACGCCAAGGCTTCCTCTGCAGTGAGAGGTTGACCCAGAGTACCCAGTGATAGATTCCTTTCTCGAGATTCACGACTGGAGAGAGGATCTTTGACGCGGGCATCCGATCGCGCAGCTCGGCCTCCTTGCGACAGCTTCCCCTCTTCTGGGGCTGAGAGATTCGCCTCGCGAATGTTCTCAATTACTTCTGAAACCTTCGTCTGATCCCCAAATGCGGGCCGTAACTCAGTGAAATCGAGATGGTTCTCAGAGCTACCGCGGATCAGAACACCCTGAGAGGATATCCGCACAGGCGGAGACGGAGGCTGTCCCGTAACCAGGCTGACTTGACCATTTCCAGCTAACGTTATAGCGGTGGGCTCGCTGGACGTACTCAGGTTCAGAAAGTCAAACGCCACAACTCTATCTGACTCCTTGCAGCCTCGGGTGGGATGATTGAATGGGCTGAGGACCTCGCGGATCGATTTCGTATAGATTTGTTCTGGATAGTTATGGAAGGAACCTTGCCCGAGGGTCTCCTCCATGGACGTGCGATAGTCCTCTGACAAGTACTCTTTGACGACGTCAAAAGTTTTGAAGCAGCCAGTGTTCGAAAGCGCACCCAGACAGCCTCTTTTTGTCCTCGAGAATCGCAGACTCCAGAGAGATGTTTTGGGACCGAAGACATTCTTGAATTCGAGCGCTGGGCCCGGATGCCCGGACTCCAGCATATTCGCACCGCCAGTGACATTAAATCGGGAGCTGGCCCGTCGGTCCCAGATGCAGATGGTAGGGTCGTTTGTCGGATAACAGGATGCGATATAGTTCTCATCAAGCGAGTTGATCGCGAGATTGTGCACGCATCGCGTGGCAAATTGGAGAGACGGATTGCCGGGAGCCTCTGTAGGGAATTAGCTGCCCGGCCAGAAAAGAAGGAACGTAACAGGGTACAGCGGTTCTGCAAAGACGGACAAGACACTTACCTCGAAGATCATATATTCTCACGTATTGGCCCTTCACCCCGGTGACAAGCATGTCGGGTTGATCTTTGAAGAATTTGACACTCGTGATCGGCTCCGAGCTAGCCAATTTTCTGAGAGGCTCGACATATCCCTTGGGACCTTTGTTGATCATACGCTGGTTGACATCCCAAATATTCAAACAAAAATCGTTGCGAACCCGGTCCAGCCCGGCTGCCAGCAGGCCGTGTCTACTGAACGAGACAGCATTACAATACCGCTGATGGCGAATGGGGAATGAAATCGACTCCGCATTCTCGCTGCTCAAGCGCAAGACAGTCGCGTCGCCAGAGGATTGGCCCACAGCAACTAAGGACTCGTCCACTGGAGACCAATCGAAGGCGCGAAAGGCGGGCACCTTGGTGTGCGTCGACAGCACTTCATACTCCAGATTCTTGCCGTCGAATGCAGTGGCTTTGCAGAGTCGGAAGGTTTTCCCGGTCACGTCTACGGAGAGAAAGCGCTGCTCCGCTGTGGTAGAGGACGGGGCCCAGCGAATGGCAGTCTCCATTTTTGTTTCCCTGCGGCTTGTCTGGACTGTCGAGGGAAGGATAAATCACCTGCACAGTATGTACCTTAGTCAAGCAACCTGGCCCATTCTAAGAAGCAACGCCCAGCTCGCAAGGCTAAGCTGACTCGAATCGAGAGACAGGACGCATAGTAGCAGTAAGTACTCTTTAAAAGTCAAGGTTGATGATACGAGGGCGCAATTCCAGTGATTCCCAACTCGCATTGGAATAATCAACAGGGTAATTCCTCCCGTGCTCTCTTCAATCGCTAAGCGCGTCATTACAACAGCCCCCGCTCTGATTGGTCGCAGCTGTTATCCTGGGGAACTCCTCGGGCCGACAGCTGATCCGCTTATTTTTTTATCGCTTTGGGATATTTTCTTATTTTCTTGTCGGCCTTTATCTTACCTGTGATCAGCAGCGAATTACTGAACGGCATTGCAACCGTTTTTCAGTGACAAAATGCCCAGAGAATACTCGAGGGAGAAGCGATCTCCTTCTGATCCCACGACGACCAGTAAACGAAAATACCACGAAGGCTCGGAAGACTCTCAACCAGCAAAGAAGAAGAAGATACTCCCTCCCAAACATGAACATAACCACCCCTCCGTGAACGAGTTGAAGAAGCGCATCCGAGATGTCAAGCGTCTGCTCAACCGGGTTGACCTGCCAGCCGATGCGCGCATTGTCCAGGAGCGTGCGCTCGCGGGATACGAGAAGGACCTTGAGGACGAGTTGGCGAGACGCCATCGGTCCCAGATGATCAAGAAGTATCATTTTGTTCGATTCCTCGGTACGAGAATCCGACTACAATTTGATTTTGGCGAATGCTTTGGAGCTAATATGGACGGTCGCAGATCGAAAAGCCGCCTCAAAAGACCTCAAGCGTCTTCTCCGCCGTGAACAGGAAATCTCCAATTCCGATCTCGACCCAGCAACCAAGGAAGAGAAACTAGCTGCTCTCGCGGCGAAGATCCACGCTGCGCATGTGAATCACAATTATACCATCTACTACCCGCTTACGCAGAAATATGTCGCGCTCTACGCAGAGCAGAAGAAGCAAAAGAAGGAGTCCAGTGCACAATCGGAGAAGCCGAATGAGCCGGACGCGAAAGTTGTCAGCAAACTMATATATGAGACGACGGGTGAGAGACCACCCATGT